CAGAAGAAGATGCGGTGCGGCGAGTGCGCGGCGTGCGCGGCGCCAAACTGCGGCGCGTGCCGCTTCTGCGCCGACATGCCAAAGTTCGGCGGCGTCGGCACGCTGCGCCAGCCCTGCCTGCAGCGCCGCTGCTCGAACAAGACGTACGACGCGCCCCCGTCCGCCGCCCCGCGGCCGAACACGCCCGCCGCGCCGCCGCCGCCGCCCGACGTCTACGACGAGAGCCTGGTCGGCCGCCGCGTGCGGGCGCTGCGCGGCGCGACGTGGCGCGGCGGGACGATCGTCCAGTTCCAGCCGCCCGTCACTCGCTCCGGCGCTCCACGCTTCCTCGTCAGGTTGGGCGGCGGCGGGGAGGGGGGGGAGGAGGAGGAGGCGGCGGGCGGCGGCGGGGAGGGGGGGGAGGAGGAGGCGGCGGCGGGCGGGCTAGTCGAGGTGTCCCTGCCGGACAACCCGCACTGCCACCTGCTGCCTCGCAGCGTCGAGGCGACAGGACGCCCCGCCAAGGCCTCCCAGCCGTGAGCAGGCTCTCTCCACACGCGCGGCTGTGAACAGGCGACGGACGACGCGCTCGCCGGCTTGAGCCGCGCCGACCAGGTCAAGGCGTACCGGGCGGGGGCGGCGGAGGCGGAGAAGAAGGCGCTGGCCGAGGTGCGGGCGGAGGGGGTCACGCTGTACACGTCGTCGCGCTCCGAGACGGGGTACCGCTGTGTGTCGAAGACGAGGCTCGAGCGGCTCGGCACGTTCGCGTACGAGGTGAAGACCATCGTCGACGGCGAGCCTGCTCCTCCCTCGCCCCGGGCGACACTGTGAGCGGGCGTCTCTTCACAGCTGCAGCCGTGAGCAGGCGAGCTGCTCCACCTCGGCAGGTTCCCGTCGCGCACGCAGGCGGCGCTTGCCTTTGCGCGCCACCACGACGCCGCCTCAACGGCGCTCGTGGCGGGGTGCGGCGGCGGCGCCCCGCGCGGCGGCCGCGGGTACGGCAACATGGTGCTGCCGTTCGAGCTGACAGACGCGATGGAGGTTTGGGCCGCCTAGAAGAAGAAGAGGACGTGCGCCTTCTCTCCCGGCCAGCGCTCGAGAGGGCACGGACTCAACCGCATTCGGCCGTCTCCACTCTCCTCGCCGCCCCTCGCACTCACGCGCCGCTCTGAGAGACACTGCAGAAGGCCGCCCTCCCGCCCTCATGTCGGCGTACTCAGAACGCAGGCCTGGGACCGCAAACACACGGCCGAGCCGTGAGCAGGCTCTCTTCACACCTGCACTCCGTACCGCGCAGGACGGGACCGCACTAATTAACACTAATTAAGACTAATTAACACTAATTAACACTAATTAACACTAGTTAACACTAATTAACACTAATTAACACTAATTAACACTAATTAGCACTCCGTACCGCGGCAGGACGGGACCGCACTAATTAACAGTAACTAACACTAATTAACACTAGTTAACACTTATTAGCACTCCGTACCGCGCAGGACGGGACCGCACTAATTAACACTAATTAACACTAATTAGCACTCCGCACCGCCGCAGGACGGGACCGCAAACACGGTCGAGCGAGTGCTCGACGTGCGCGAGGTCGAGGTTGAGATCTCGACCCAGCCGCCCCCCGGCCTCGCCCTCCAAGACGAGGAGGCGACACACTCGTCCCACCGGCCCGACGCCGCGCCCTACCGCCGCACCAAGGCGGCCGTCGCCGCGCGCGCCGCCGGCTGCTGCGGCGCGTCGCAGCTCCCCGAGCGGACAAAGGCGGCGGCGGCGGCGGCGGCGGCGGCGGCGGCGGGAGGCGCCTCCCCGAGCCGCAAGGAGAATGCGTGGGGCCAGTCGGGCGGGGGAGGGGGAGGTGCGCCCCTCCTTGCCGGCGGGATGTGCAGCGCCGGCTCGTGCCCGAACCAGGCGGCGGCGCGCCACCCGCGCCTGCCCGCCGGCCTCTGCCAGATCCACGCGGCGCGAGCCGCGCAGCTGCTCGCCGAGGGCTGGCCAAAGGGCGAGGACGGGCCCTCTAGAAGCGAGACCATGGCTCTCGCATCCCCCGCGAGCGGTCCGAGTGGAGGCGCACTCTCCGCCGTGTCCCGCCGTATCCAGCGGCATGCACTGCCCTCGCCGCCCCTCGTATTCACGCAGTGCGCCCAACGCACTGCGCAGTGCCGTCCTCCCGCCCCGAGCGTGGCGTACGGCAGCACGTAGGACGGCGAGGAGGACGCGTGCCGCTGGTGCTGCGGCCTCTCCCTCGACGCTCTCGACCGGCCGGTGGCGGCGCAGGACGTGTCCACGGTGCTGTGCGACGCATGCGGCAAGGCGTGGTGCTCGGACTGCATACGCTCCAACCTCGGCGCCGCCGCGTGGGAGCAGATCGAAGGCTTGCCTGAGGACGAGGAGTGGCGGTGCTTCTACTGCGACCCGAAGCTCCTCACCGCTCTCGGCTCCGCGCCCGCCGCGCCCGCCGCGCCCGCCGCGCCCGCTATGCCGCCCGCCGGCGCTCCCGCCCCCGCGGAGGCGGCGGCGGAGGAGGAGCGGGGCGAGGACCGGGGCGAGGAGAAGCGGTACGCGCTGCAGGCGTGCCACAACACACTCTCGGGTCCCCTCGGGTCCCCTCGGGCCCCCTCGGGTCCCCTCGGGTCCCCTCGGGTCCCCTCGGGTCCCCTCGGGCCACCTCGGGTCGCCTCGGGTCCCCTCGGGTCGCCTCGGGTCACCTCGGGTCACCTCGGGTCCCCTCGGGTCACCTCGGGCCGTCTCGGGGACTTCTCTGCAGGCCGAGTACCTCGTCAAGAAGAGGGGCTTCTCCCTCTTCCGCGCGGAGTGGCTCTCGCGCGAGGCCATCGAGGCGGACGGCCGCCTCTCCAAGAACTCGCTCGCGCGCTTCCTCCGCCGCATGTCCGACGGCGAGCCGGTCGACGACTCGTACAAGGCTCAGATGCTGCCCGAGCGCGTGATCTCGTGTTAATTAGTGTTAATGAGTGTTAATGAGTGCCAATGAGTGTTAATTAGGCTCAGATGCTGCCCGAGCGCGTGATCTCGCGGCGCGACGCCAACGGCTTCGCCGAGTACTTGGTCAAGTGGCAGCAGCTGCCGTACGCCGAGTGCTCGTGGGAGGCGGCGGCCGACCTGCCCGCCGAGGCAATCACGCGGTACGAGGCGCGGGAGGGCGGCGAGACGGCCGAGCTGGACGCGGCGGTCGTGCCCAAGGAGCCGGCCGCGCCGCCGCCGACGGCGTGGGTCAAAAAGGACATGGAGCTCGAGGTGGCGCCTCTAATTAATAGTTAATTAACTAGTAGTTATTAACCAGAGGGCATGGAGCTCGAGGTGGCGCCGCTGGCGGCCGAGCTGGCTGGCTCGTGGTTCGCGGCGCGCGCGCTCAAGCTCACCGCCAAGCGGCTGACCGTCGAGTACCGCGCGCTGCTGCGCGACGAGAACGAGACGGTGCCGACGCCGCTCTCGGAGAAGGTCGACCTCTTCCGCGCCCGGCCGCCGCCGCCCGACAAGCCGCGGGGCTGGGCGCCAAAGGAGGGCGGCGCCGCGCAGATGCTGCACGCCGACGGCTGGTGGGTGGTCGTCGTCAAGGTGCTCCGCCGGCGCGGCGAGCCGTTGCTCGACGGCACGCCGGCGCACGCGTGGGAGACGGGCTCCGTGAGGAGGAAGTGAGCAGCATGGTCAGTGGACTAGGCACGCCGGCGCACGCGTGGGAGACGGGCGCGCTTGGGCTCGAGACGAGCTTCGGCGCGGGCGAGGGCCTCGAGCCGCTTGCGGACGCGGCGGCGCTGCCGCTGGGCGAGCAGCGCGAGGGGAGGGACGGGCAGACGTGGGAGGTGCGGGTGGGCGACGCGTTCCAGGAGGGGCGCGGCGGCCTCAAGCACATTTGGGCCGCGGTCGACGTGCTCGCCGCCGACTCGCGCACGCGCTCCGCGGTGAGGACGATCAAGGGGCGCGTGCCCGAGAAGGTGCCCGGCTCGCGCGTCGTCATCAAGTACCTCGAGCCCGAGCCGGAGCCGCAGGACCGGCCGGTAGTGGCAGTCAGCAGCCCGACTCCCAAGATCGGACGCCCCTCTCCACGCCCGAGCGACTAGCGACAGCTGGGGGGCGACGGGAATGCCGTAGACACGACTCAGCACAGGGCCCGTCACCCGTAGCGTCCCCTCTGCTCCCCCCTCCAGGTGCTGCCGCAGGGCGACGGGCCCGAGATCACCTGCTGCAAGTGCGGCACCGTGCTCGACGACGAGGCGGGCGAGGTGGTGACGCCCTCCGTCGGGTGCGAGAAGGAGGGTTGCTCGCACTGGGCGTGCCTCGGCTGCGCCGGCTTCAAGAGTGAGGCGGACGCGGCCAAGGGCGGGACGTGGTTCTGCCCGCTGCACGGCCCGCCACCGCCGCCGCGCTTCCTCGCCTACCCCGCCGTCGTGCTGCGCCTCTGCAGCCGGCGAGGGTACTGGGCGCTAGATGCGGAAGGCACGGCCGTGTATTCCAACACTCAGTAGACACGCACTCGACGGGGTTCCAGCGCAATGGAGCACCCATCGTGGTCATGTGCTCCTCGTCATGCATGCTGGGCAGCTTTTCTTGCGTGGGTGGAGCCGCGCAAGGGTGGAGCAGCTTTTCTTGCGTGGGTGGAGCCGCGCAAGGGTGGAGCAGCTTTTCTGCGTGGGTGGAGCCGCGCAAGGGTGGAGCAGCTTTTCTTGCGTGGGTGGAGCCGCGCAAGGGTGGAGCAGCTATTCTTGCGTGGGTGGAGCCGCCCAAGGGTGGCTCTTGCGGAGGCGGCCGACCGGTGGGTCCGTCGCAACTTCTTTTCCGCCGTACTCAGCTGCACTTCACTGTATCGTGGCCTGTTGTGCCCCCCGGGCACTGGACTCCTCCTCCTCTCGCCCTGACTTGTGGCTCACTCATGGCTTACTCATATGCCGCAGGATGCTGGTGCGCTTCGACGGGTATGCGGACGGGTCGGAGGACAAAGAGGGGTGGGTGGAGGAGGCGACACGAGGGGCGAGTGGTGCCGGGCGTGTCCATGACGCGTCCGTGACGTGTCCGAGACGTGTCCCGCAGGCGGGCGAGGATGAGTGGTGCTGGGAGGAGGAGTACGATGAGGCGGCGGACAGCGCCAAGCTCGCGCAGGTCGAGACCGACACCGCCGAGGTGAACTGCTACTACTGCGTCGCGCGCGGCGGGTGGAGGATGTGGAAGGCGGCGCGCGAGCTGCGACCCAACTGGGCGTGGCGCGGCGTCGAGACGGGGTGGGAGGTGTCGGAAAGCCTCGAGATGCCGGGCGAGCGACCGGAGGCGGAGGCGGAGGCGGCGGAGGCGGAGGCGGAGGAGGGGGAGGCGGCGGAGGGGGAGGCGGCCGAGGCGGCAGCGGCGCCTGCGGCGGCGGCGGCGGGGTCCGGGGGCGGCGGCGGGCGCAAGCGGCGGCGTGAGGGCGCCGACGACGACGACGACCCGGAGTACGTGGAGGAGGGTGGCGGCGGTGCAGGCGGCGGCGCGGGCGAGGGTGAGGACGAGTCGGAGGACGACGACGCGCCGGCCGAGGTG